TGCATTTTTGTAAGAAAAATATCCATATTCAAAACGTAATAATCAATTGAATCTAGTTTGCGCTTACTGTTGTAAACGGAAGCAGCTCCGGGCAGATGACGTATGAGGTTGGCGTTCCGCATGCGCCGCTCAGAAGTGACGAACGCGGAAGCGCAGCGGAGAGATCTAAACAAAAGAACGGTCACTAATTAGAAGTACAAAACGAGGATTTGTAAAGAAGAATGTCAGAGGATTTCGATATAAGCCAAGAGGAGACTGGTTTTCCTTTGCTAAAGTAAGGAAACTTTGCTTCCTTTGCTCCTGTTAACAAACGTTGGTTTTCACGAGACTCAACGGCGCATGCGCAACGCCGACCTCATACCTCATCAGCCGCTTCTGTTTATAACTGTTGGCGCAAGCTACATTAAAGTGATTATTACATTTTGAATATGGATATTTTTCTTACAAAAACGCATCGATTCGCTACAGGAGGCCTTTGTTCACCCCCCGGAGCCGTGTGAGACACTTTTTTTTATGGATGGGCACTTTTTATTTCACTTCTTTTGGACTGATGCATGCAACACCTGCTGACTGCCATTAAACAGCTTGAAAGATCAAAGACAATTTTTTATCTAACTCCGACTGGATTCGTCTGAAAGAAGAAAGTCATATACACCTAGGATGACTTGAGGGTGAGTAATTTATGGGCTAATTTTCCTAGCTTAAACTAACCCTTTAAGCTAACTGAGATTTGTTATAGCACTTGTATATCATTGCTCTTTTGTTGATTTTGATTGATTCTATTGTCCTCATTTGTAAGTCGCTTTGGGTTAAAAGCGTCTGCTAAATTACTAAATGTAAATGTTGTTCTCTGCACTTTTATACGTATGATGTTGCAGCATGAATAATTTAAAAACTGTGCTTTTTCTTGATTTTTTCTTTTGTGGCCGGAGTAATGAAACCAGGCCTAAAAAAAGGGTTTAAAGGACTCAAGATCTCGAATGATCACCCTCATTATCTGCTGAGAGTTTTAAGTGCATTGGCTATGAATTTTGGCTTCAGTTCAGTTCTTCTGCGTCTCTCTGCATTTACTTACATGATCTTGTAGCATTTCATTCCCTTTTTTTTGTGGGATTTGAACTTCTCACAGCATTCCTTTTCTTCATGCATAAATAGTATAACTTTGTTTTTTCTAAATCATTATGCTGTAAGCATATGTAGTATCAGAACTGTTTTACTGTCTCTTCCTGATGCGTGTGTCTTTTCTTACAGGAGACTACTGGACAGAATCAGACAGAGTATTCAGAGGTGGCTTTCAGATGATGATCATTCAGACTGTATTATTATACAGCTCATCTTATTACAGGCCAGAGCATGTTGGGGCGTATGTCAGTATGCAACAAAGCTTCAAGCCTCAAAGTTAAAATGCAAATCCAATGGTTGTGGCATTGTTTACTACAAATGAGTGTATTTCATCATACAAGTACTTGATGAAAAGAATTTGATCTTTAATAAGAAAGAAAGAACAGAATTATAGAGTATTCACAACAGGCAACCTAATGAGACGCTCCGTTAATTTCTGATCTCAATCTTGTCTGCAGCTGCACAGCTTCATTCCTTACACAGTATAATCATGTCTAGACTTGAGTTTAGCTGGTTTGTGTAGTATTATTTTCACACCCGTCCACATTATTACTATCCTAGTTCTGATTATGAACCAAGAGTCATGAAAAACAGGGGAAAAAAAGATCAAAAGAAAGAAGAAAGCTCAGAAAAAGAACCAGCCAGAGCTACATACAGTATGTATAATCATTGAGGCTCCATCTGTTGACTATTTGCTAGTTTTACATGTAGCATGATCAAGTCGGCCCCTGCTGGTAGAAAATCACAACTACACCATCTGTGACAAAAATCGACAGCCTTAAAGGGTTAGTTCACCCAAAAATGAAAATTAGGCTGCGTTTTACTCACCGCTGATGCATCCTAGGTGTATATAACTTTCTTCTTTCAGACAAATCCATTCGGAGTTATATTAAAAATTGTCTTTGATCTTTCGAGCTCTATCGTTGCACTCAGCGGGTGTTGCATTGCTTCAGTCCAAAAGACCTAAAATAAAAAGCACCCTTCCATAAAAAAAGTGTCTCACACGGCTCCAGGGGGTGAACAAAGGCCTCCTGTAGCGAATCGATGCGTTTTTGTAAGAAAAATATCCATATTCAAAACATAATAATCACTTGAATCTAGCTTGCGCTCACTGTTTTAAACTGAAGCAGTTCCGGGGGAATTACGTATGAGGTCAGCGCTGCGCATGTGCGGCTCAGAAGTGACTCGCACGGAGAGATTGAAACAAAAAAAACGGTCACTAATTAGAAGTACAAAACGAGGATTTGTAAAGAAGAATGTCGGAGGATTTCGATATAAGCCAAGAGGAGACTGGTTTTCCTTTGCTAAAGTAAGGAAACTTTGCTTCTTTTGATCCTGTAAACAAACGTTGGTTTTCATGAGACTCACCGGTGCATGCGCAGCACTGACCTCATACGTCATCCTTCCGGAACTGCTTCTGTGTACAACTGCTGGCGCAAGCTAGATTAAAGTGATTATTACCTTTTAAATATGGCTATTTTTCTTACAAAAACACATCGATTCGCTACAGGAGGCCTTTGTTCACCCCCCCGGAGCCGTGTGAGGCCCTTTTTTTTATGGAAAGGTGCTTTTTATTTCACGTCTTTTGAACCGAATATATATATATATATATATATGTAATATTGTAGTAAGAGAAATAAAACCTCTGAAAGTCAGAAAATTTATATTCTCTCCTGCTTGCAAAACAGTTTAGGAAATAGCATATGTTATCAGTTTGAGACTCTTCATACCCTCTGACACACTGGCAGCTCAGTTTGAGAGTTTCAGTGAGATCTGTTGTGGTCTGCTTTTTTTAGGCTGAGTTTATGGGGTCTGGACTCAAACCCTGTATTTGTGAGCAGTGTGTTCATGCATTTAGGACTCATCAGGTCATCGGAAGAAAACATAGTTAGATTATTTCTTGAATCTCTGTTGTTCATCGTTTCGGACAAATTTTAAAGAATGTAATGTCAAATCCTGCTGTTTTCAGTCTATTTGTGCTTGTCACAAACTGTAAGTGATTTCATTTTAATTTTGCTTTTACTGAATTCAGGTGTATGTGACATGATTAGTTCAATTCATTCCATACTATTAATTTGCATTGAACAACCTTTGTTTTTCTGAAAAAAAAAAACTTTGTTTCAGGTGTGATTGTTGTTGTGACAGATGAAGTGAAGTCAGTATCAGTGCTGGAGGGAGAATCTATCACTTTACACACTGATGTTAAAGTACAGAGAGATGATCAGTTACGGTGGACGTTTGGACCTCAAAACACTCGAATAGCTGAAATCATTAAAAGGGACCAAATAAACTTTATTTTTGTCAGTAATGATGGGAGATTCAGAGACAAACTACTGATGGACAATCAAACTGGATCTCTGACCATCAGAAACATCAGATCTGAACACACTGGACTTTATGAACTGACTGTCATCAGTGGAAAAACCTCATTGAAGAGCTTCAGTGTTACTGTGTATGGTAAGTAAACTGTACTCTCACTAATGCTAGGATAGGTTTGTTCATTAATTTTTAATTCTAGTCTGAACTCACAATGCTGTAAATGATATATGATGCCCAAAATACAACTGAAATTACCTACTAAATGTTAAAATAATATATGAAAAAGCTGCTCAGATGATCAATCATTGTTTTACAGTATAGATTTCCAAGCATTCATTTCTTTCTCAGCCTTGCATTTAAAATGCTGGTTTCTTTTTGATTAGCCTTGCAAGAAAACATGTGTGTCATATTAATTTTATTATAGTTTGTTGATTATAATACATACTTGGTCTTTCATGTTTTCCAGCTCCTCTTTCCATTCCTGTGTTCACCAGTAACTCTTCAAACTGTTCTTCATCATCATCAGGATCATCAGTGTTTAAATGTTCACTGCTGTGTTCAGTGTTGAATGTGAGAGATGTGACTCTCTCCTGGTACAAAGGAAACAGTTTATTGTCCAGCATCAGTGTGTCTGATCTCAGCATCAGTCTCTCTCTACCTCTGGAGGTGGAATATCAGGATAAAAACACCTACAGCTGTGTGCTCAACAATCCCATCAGCAACCAGACTAAACATCTGGACATCAGTCAACTCTGTCACACATGTTCAGGTCAGTGATGTTACTTATCTGTTGCTCGTTGTAAGACTGACGCTTCCTATATATAGACTGACACTTAATATTATTTTGGCTGAATTCAGAACAGAAAGTGTTTCTCTCTGTGTTCATTACAGAACAGAGCCAGCATTCGTATGTGATTCTAATGATAATAGTCAGTGTGTGGCTGTTGGTGTTCATGTCTGTTATAATGATGTACTGCTGCTGCAGGAAATTGTGTCAAGCACAACAAAAGGGTAAGTAACTGACAAAGCTTACTATATTATTGATTTCTTACTTAGTATTTTTGCCTTGTTTTTTAGTATAAATATCTAAACATTCTTTAATCAACGTGGATTTACGTGAGAAGCAAAATGACTCAAAAAAAATTTTTTTTACCCCAATGGCAGATATTTCTCATTTTAACCAAAAACGATTTAACCAAACACTAAATTTTCCAGAAAATCAGACATAATATCTTAAGTAATTTTGCTTCTCAAGTAAATGCACCTTGATTAAATAATGTTTAGATATTTATAATTAAAAAACAAGACATTGTTTGCAGTGTATCTCCAGTTAGTATCCATTGTCATGCCATCATATTTCACTAGATGGCAGAAAACTACAGAACTTACTGATATTAAATATACTAGCAAAATATCCTCACGTGTCTGTGTTTGTAGATCTGACAATCATAGAACAGCAAAACATGTCAGAATACACACAGATCATCTACTGCCTTCAGAAGGAAGATCTGCCAGAGGTCGGTAAACATTTTATCTGATCGTGACTGATTTTACTTTAAATATTATGTTATTTACTTTACAGTTTCAGGAATGAATTAAGGTCTGTTCATCTACTTCCTGTCAACTCAGAAGTTTAGTCATGTTTGTGATGTTGAATGTTTCTTCCTTACAGTTAGGCTTGCTGGATGTGGACAGAACAGAGACAACTGTGAACTATCGACACACAACACAGTGAAACTCAGTTTATGAATAACTGAACATCTCTGGGAAATGTTTGTCCTGAAGTAGACCTCCTGTGTTTTTGGTCGTCACCAGAAGTCCTCATGTTTGAGCAGAAGCATCATGATGATTCATTGTCTGCGGTGCTGAAGGATTCAAAGGAGATGAGCAGGTGTGCGGATGATTCGAGGATGCTTGATGATGGACTTCTGTAGATTACTGCAGTTGTTATTATCTGATCTGGATTTACAGTTAAAGTGGAGAGAAGAACATCAATATGAGCATTAATCAGAAGACATGTACAAGAGCATTGTTTGGAAAATAATTACAATTTAGGCTATTTTCAGTTTCACTAACCTGCTCAAAACTAGTTCAAATTAAAACATGATTTATCTAATATATAATGACGTTTCTAAATATCTTTTTTGCCATGTTTTCTCACCACTGAACCCTCATATGAAATGTTTGAGTCATCTGACAGCTGCTCTTTGTAGGATGTAAGTTGAGTAATGATGGGAAAAACCCTCCCCTCACACATTCTCTTTGTGTTGATTGTCACGAGCGCAGACCAGATGGAGTTTGATGTGTTGAGGTGTATTAAATATAGCCTCCAGGTGTGAACATATCTCTTTCAGACCTCATGGTTTGCCCTGTGGGAACAATACAAGAAGGATGATTCAAGGCAGATAGAATGGGATAAACTATTACATTTCTTATAGAAGAATTAATTTAACAGAAATTATAGGCCTATACAACCCCGGGGGAGGATAAACCAGAAGTGTATGGCTTTAATGCATGGTTTCCTAATGCAGAAAATGATGGAAAAGATCTGCAGGGGTGTCATCAAGCAGACAAAAGTTAGCCTGGAAAAAATGGTCGCTGAATTTCTGTAAAAGGGGAGGGCATGCATGATTGTTAAATAACAAAATATTTTTGTCAAGATAGCTGTTAAGATTGTAAGTCATGATCTAGAGCAGGGTTCCTCAAATCTTGCCCTGGAGGGCCAATGCGCTGCAGAGTTTAGCTCCAACCCTGATTAAACTCACCTACCTGTGATTTTCTAATGATCCTGAAGACATTGATTAGCTTGCTCAGGAGTGTTTGATTAGGGTTAGAGCTAAACTCTGCAGGAAAGTGGATCTCGTGGGCCAGATTTGAGGATCCATGATCTAGAGCAGCGGTGGCGAACTCCGGTCCTGGAGAGCCACAGCCCTGCAGAGTTCAGCTCTAACCCTAATTAAAACTCACCTGCCTGTAGCTTCCTAATAATCGTTCAGACCTTGATTAGCTTGTTCAGGTGTGTTTGATTAGGGTTGAAGCAAAACTCTGCAGGGCTGCGGCTCGCCAGGACCGACGTTCGCCACCCCTGATCTAGAGAGAACTAAAGCCGCCTACACTGCAGGCTGTTCCAGATGAAAGATTGGCATTGTGAAACAATCGTGGCAATTTCTGTGATCGTGGCTCCTAAATGGTGGTCTTATGTCGTACAGTAAGAGTGGTTCAAAGATGGCCGTTGTCACGGTCTTGCGAGCAAAGATAGCCTGCGATCATTTTCTGACAGTGTCAGAAATTCAGCACGATCATCGCACAGTGTGTTTGCTGCTACGACCCACGTTTAATGACCAGCCCAAAAAAATGCCACATGTAATGTCGTGTTGATCAACGCGGCATGGCACTAAAACTTAAAACTGCTTACCTCAAACTCTTTTAACTTCCTCTTTCACAGCTTCCTCTTTTTTCAGCAAAAACAGTACAACTGCCAAACTGTGCTTCATCATGCTCTTTTTGTTTACCACTAGCGCATGCTGATGACCTTTTATTCTTCTATTGTAACTTGTGTCACAAGGTGTCATCATCGTACAGTCTGCATACAGTACATGTCGTACCCAAGTGTATCCATGTTGCACAGTATGACTTATAATGATTGCTAAAATCGTGCAGTGTGTAGAAGGCTTAAAACCGCGTGGTCTCTGTGGGCTTCCGTATGTTTTCATTTGGTACCGATATGAACTTGAAAGCTACGTTCCCGTTACGTCATATTCACTGGTGTAAGTGTACGCTTATCCCCTGAACAATTTACAGTGCTCTTCGGACTGAACAAGTACACTTTCCAAGGCACTTTATATCTGTACTTTTGTAGGATATGCACGCGTGCCGTATTTCTGCTCAAAATAGCAGACTTAAGTCCCTACTGAAAAAAACCCAGCTAAAACCAGGCTAGGCTGGTTTTAGCTGGTCATCCAGCCTGGTCTTAGCTGGTCATCAGGCTGGTTTTAGAGGGGTTTTGGCCATTTCCTTAGCTGGTCAGGCTGGGAGACCATCTAAAACCAGCTACTTCCAGCTTAAACCAGCTTAGACCAGCCAACCAGCCTAGGCTGGTTTTACCTGGTTTTTTTTTTCAGCAGAATAACAGACATGCTGTTTGACTTGCAGTCGAAAAGCTTTATTTATCTTTAAGAAATCGCTAACAATGATGTCCAGCAACATCTGCACATGCGCATCGGGGCCCATATTCACGAAACATCTTAAGGCTAAAAGTAGCTCATAACTTGCAGATTTAGGAGAAAATCTTAAAAATAATGGGCGTGTCAGTCCTAAATTTAAGACTCCTACATTTTTGCTCTAAGAGTATTTCACAAATCTTTTTTGCTCTAAAACTAGCTCCTAAATTTGTGGAAGGTTAGGAGAAGTGAAGAGGACTCCAAAGTCACTAAGACCAAGCCACAAACTATCCTCAAATGGCTGATGCCAGCAATCTGCCTCTGATTGTAAACATTTTATAAACATTTGATGATAATGAGCTTTTAAAAAGGTATCGCCTTTGGTTTTTATAGGATAAGCATATTGCGGACAAAAAGCCTGTCATCCAAAAGTAGACTGCGTTTAAATTATTTATGTAGGTTTAAATAAAATGTTTATGTAACATTACGTGAAGTATTTCATTTGAATTCTATATCATTTGATTCTGTCTCTCGTGACAGTCTGGTCAGGATGTGTTTTGTAAGCGAGAGATGGTAAAGAGATGTAGAAACTGAAATAGAGGGAGGGCGAGGGTGCTCATGAATTTCTCAGAGCTAATGTGGGGGAGATTTTCCTGTTTGTTTGGTTAGAATTTTATATAATGATTTATTATATGGTCTGTTATATTAAGAGCAAATTAAGCAATTTCTTTGATGCAATGACTTCCAAAGTGTGTGCTGTTTTTTATTCCAGTTGTTACAGTCATAAAAGTATTTTAGAGAACTAAAAAAAGTGGAAGCCTATTTTAGAAGGCTAGGCTACATACATGGATTTATATGCAAAATGTCAATATTCTCACATTGCTTGAAGGGATAGTTCACCCGAAAAGATGTTGTTTATCTGCGTACCCCCAGGGCATCCAAGATGTAGGTGACTTTGTTTCTTCAGTAGAACACAGCCAAAGTTATGTATTATGCATTCCAAAATCACAAATACATTTATTTGGTTTATTATCCTGCTTCCCTGTATTTGTCCATTGAAGGTGTGAAGAATGTTTTCCCCAGTAAACTCTGAATTTAAATTATCAATGTATTATTGTGATCAGAGTATATAGTATAGTTATGATTAGTAGACTGTTAGTGATATCTACCAAGACTGAACATAATGAAGATACTTTCTCAGTCAACACACGGAATCAAAATCAGTATATGGTGAAGTAGTTCTAAATTAAGAACAAGTAACTTAACGAATTCACGAATAATTTAAATAATAAACTCTTTATAATAGTGCTATAGCGTCATAAAGCCCCCCACTCCTTCCGTATGAGCAGAGTATGAGCAGAGTATGAGCAGAGCAGAACTAGTTCTGCTTATGAGGCTGTCGTTTTGAACGCACGTTTTCGACGGCGCTATGAGGATTTTAATTATCAGAAATCTTTCGGACATCTTTTGAGTAATATGCATTCCGACCCTGCTTTCGCCAGTCTATGCAGTCTGATCACAAATGGTAAGCCGGATTGCATTTTCATGTTGGGTGGTTTTGACTGGAAAAGCCCGCAAATATGTAGGCTAAATACATATACATACATACAAATATATATGCGTGTGTGTGTACCGTTACTATATTAAAATTTTTATTTTAATTTAAACCCCACTATGTTCCTTTTATCCTTGTTTGTTTATGACAAAGATTTTTCCTTTGTTTGAATGTGTTTCAGGTGTGTTTGTAAGAAAAGCATTGTCTCGCTGCCTGCCTGTAGAAAACTCTGCACTAGTGAGCTGATGATCATTCATGCTTAAAGAAAAAAGAAATCTTAATATCCGTCTGTGCTTGCTTATTCCTTACTGTAACCTAAGCAGAAATTCTGCTTTATTTTAAACTGAAGTATAGATGAATTTGGTTTTAAAGCTAGTGATTCATTTAAGTGATATGTTATGTTTCACATGCATCAGGCACTGCATGGTGGACAACTCTTTCTACTTAACAGGGAATTAAGCTACACCCGTTACTAACAGGTGCGCAAATCTTTACAAATATGTCTAGACAGAAATGGATTAGTATAACAAATAAATTCAGTGGAATTTAGCAACAGACTGAAAAGGCTCCAGTTTGTCAGTTGACAGTAAACCTGTTCTACCTGTGATTCACAAATAATGGTGAATCTTTATCTTTTATCTTGTTTAAAATGTGAGGTAGTGAAATCTCCTGTAGGTTACTGTGTAGTGATGTTACATCAAACACCTGCTGTGTGAACTTGCCAAACAATAACACAAAATGATGACTTGTCAATAATTTAAGTTTCCTACACAGTTCATATATTTACTCCCTGATAAAGATGTTTTATAGAGACACAATTGTTCTAATCACTAATCTCTAAAATAAATATATTAGATCAAGCTTTATTTATATTGATATTGTACATATCTTATAGTGACACTGTTTTACTCCCTTTGAAATATACATCAAGAGGGAAACTTTCCTGCTGTTGTCTTGTTGCTGCTTTATTGTACTTGTGCATATATTTGCGTGATCATTCATGCATGTGTGTGCAGATCATGTCATATATGTTGCAGATTGACTAGTTGCATGAAGACTTGCTTTATCACAAACTGCTCTGTCTGTGATTGTGAGATCCCGCTCCCTTTTACAAAATTTGTTTCAGTATTTTAATATATATCTTAAAGTTATGTGTGGCTTTGAGATTTGTCAGTTTGGATGTGTGTGAGCCATCTCATTCACTGATTTTTAATTTAAATTCTGAATTCTTTATAGGAAATACCATTTTAGGTATAATGTCCCTTTCAGAACTTCCTCGTATAAAATGAGCTTTTATTGAAATTAAGCCGTGAAGTTCCTCAGTTCTGTCCCACAAAAGAAGGCATGAAAGTATATTCACAGACTCTGTAACCAATAGCGTCAATGATAAGAGTTGAAGGGATGAATGAACATCTTGTTTGGTTTTCTAGAGCGGTTATCGCTGTTCTTGAAATTTTGGAAAGCTTGGAATTTCAGGCAAAATGGCAGTTTGAGAGCTAAGCGTCTTACTTTCAACTCTGCTGATCAGTTTAATAATGTGACACATTTTCTGTCTGTATTTTGTTATTCTCAGAAAGATTTACTTTCTCCAGTTTTGTGATTGTGGCATCAACACGATTCCTGATTTTATCTTTGTGATTATTTTCTCACAGAAACCTGATGGAGAAGATAGCATAGTGTACTCAAGTGTTGCAGCACCTAAGAAGCACAATTTGCAATATTTGTGATGTTTTGTCTTAAAAAAGAAAAAATCTAACTGCCATATAGAGCAGTGTTTCTCAACTGAAACTGGTGATTCATGAACACAATATTTTGGGATATATGTGAGGGATGCAATGTTGTATGCAGATATTAATATGCAGCATGTAAAAGTGAAATCTTTTTTTTTTTTTTTTAAACCTATGACAAGTGATTTGGAAAGTGGAAGGATTTAGAAACTTAAATAGCTATCATATTCAGCCCATTTCATGTTAATAATTGATTTGCAGCTCATTGTAATATTAATCCATTTCAGCATTTGATCTTATTTTAGTAGTATTACTGTCACTTTAGTATTATTAGCAATTTGGGTCAAATGTCTGATGTAAAACTTGCTCCCTCGAATGAAACCAGTTGAGAACCACTGAGGCAGAACACAAATGTATTATTTTTTTGTTATTTATTTCCACACTGCCATTTCATTATTGTGTTATTCATCAAACATCAAATAAAAGTCAGACTTTCAGCTGAGTTTTCGAAGACCATTACTGACAGATAACAGTACGAGGAGCCATGTACTGTATTTTAGGGATTTCCTTTTGACACTTTGAGACACTCTGTAGCTCCTGAACTAATCTGTCTTAAAAAGGTCTGAGAAAGAGTGGATTCAGTAACAGCTTCATAATGCACAAGAACTGCCTACATAGCTACATAGTTAACTTGTCTTGACTGAACACTAACAATCTTTATCAGTATTAGTGGTCTTTCTTCATGTTTTTCTGCTCCTCTAGCCATTTCAGTTGTTGCAGTGATTCTCAATTAGCAACCAGACTAAACATCTCAATGTTACTGAATTCTGTCAGTCATGTTAAGCTATACATCAGGCACATTTTCTACCTGTTTTCTTTCTAAATCTTTCTTTCTGAATGCATGCGGTTTGAAATGCTGAGAGGATGTTCAGATAATGCACACAATGATAGACGGTGTGTGTTTGTGTGTTCTTGAGAGTGTGAGGCCGGGGGCCAGTTTCTTCTCACAACCACAAATGATTATTCTGAGAACCTTTTAGACTCAAACCTGTGATATATATCTGAAATGAGAGTTTCCAGAACCAGCATGATGTTCTCTCATCTGTGCGCTCTCCTCTTGTTTATCCTGTGTGGTAAGTAACATTTCAGCACATTTTTTAAATGACTAAATACTCTGCATTTTGCATTGGCAAACATTTACATTTTTGTACCTTTCTGTCTGTCAAGCTTAAGGAAATTATATTAAAAACCATTAACAGAATGAAGATTTAGAGCAGTGTGTGTTGATAGATCTGTTAATGATATTATGTATCAGTCTGATAATAATATAGTGTGTTTTTATATGTATTTCAGGTGTGTTTGGCGATGAAATGAAGTCAGTATCGTGACTGAGAGAGATTCTATCACGCTAGAATCTGATATTAAAGTACAGAGTAAAGATATGTTATTGTGGATGTTTGGACCACAAGAGACTCGCATTGCTGAAATATATAACCAGAACATGTTTATGTATGAAAGTAATGAGACATTTGGAGACAGACTGCAGATGGACAATCAAACTGGATCTCTGACCATCAGAAACATCAGATCTGAACACACTGGACTTTATAAACTACAGATCCTCAGCAACAGAGGAAACTCATACAAGAGATTCAGTGTCAGTGTCTACAGTGAGTGAAGTAATACTCTAATAATCTCATTTTAATATTACACTGTTTGTGAATGTGAGAAACCTTGTCTGTGCTATGTTTCATCTTCCTACTAGTCAGGACCATTAATTTTCCAATTTTTATATGCACATATCATTAGAAGTTGTCTTACTATTTTGTTAAATATATTTTGGAGAATCTGGATAATACATTTCCCCTTTTTCTTTCCTTAAAGGGGTCATATGATGCTGCTAAAAAGAACATTATGTTGTGTATTTGGTGTAATGCAATGTGTTTATGCAGTTTAAGGTTCAAAAAACACATTATTTTCCACATACTGTACATTATTGTTTCTCCTCTATGCCCCGACTTTCTGAAACGCGTCGATTTTTACAAAGCTAATTTTTCTGAAAAGCAAGGTGTGCTCTGATTGGCCAGCTAACAATTGCATTGTGATTGGCTGAATACCTCAAGCGTGTGACAGAAATGTTACGCCCCTTAACATACAGTGACGTCGTCTCCCGGCACGGCGAGACAAAACCAATTAAACCCATTACAACCCATTATTGCCGGGCTTGCGGCAACCACATGTGACGACCCCGGGCTGGACTCGGCTTTGTCCACATTGAAAGCCGATCCTGCGATCCACAGCGCTATGTTGATGTATTTCATCTGCGACCAGCACAGATCAGCTCTAGGCATGACGAAGCGGATATCGTCCTCTTTTGGAAGAACAAACAAAGTAGTTTCGCTTTCACAACGAAACACAGCACCTTCACGACATGGCGGCGGCGGCAACAACAATACTACAGCGATAATAAAAGTTACGCCTTCTTACTTTGCGCGAACATTTGGGCAGTGTTATGCAAATCTTCCCACACAGTGACGTAGACATGTAGGGGCGTGTTTAAACGAGGTGTTTTAGGAGGGCCTGGACAAGTCTTAACTTTTATAAAGAATATCTCTTTGGATTTGAGACTTCTTTATGCACCAAGAGCTTGTAACACTCCAAAGAGAAAGGAAAAAATGAAATCGCATCATATGACCCCTTTAGTAATTTTCAGCTCATCTGCCTGTTCCTGTCAAATTCTTCAGTGTTCTTCATCATCAGGATCATCATTAGTGTCTAATTGTTCACTGCTGTGTTCAGTGTTGAATGTGAGTGATGTGACTCTCTCCTGGTACAAAGGAAACAGTTTATTGTCCAGCATCAGTGTGTCTGATCTCAGCATCAGTCTCTCTCTACCTCTGGAGGTGGAATATCAGGATAAAAACAGCTACAGCTGTGTGCTCAACAATCCCATCAGCAACCAGACCACACATCTGGACATCAGTCAACTCTGTCACACATATACAGGTATGTTAGTGGTAATGTTAGTGCTCTTTACAGACCTGAAAGGGTTAATGTAAATAAACATGTGCAAACAATATACTAGCTCTTGGGAATTTATTTGGATGTTAATTACATTGTGCAAGCTGTCTCTTTAATACCGCGTGGTTTACACGTTGCTGCTGATTGAGCTGACATGTTTGACACCCACCAAGCAAGAGAAAACACATCTCAAACCCCGTTGCACACAATTTCCAGGAAACA